GAGACTGTACCTCAAACAACAAACAAAAAAGAAGCACATGTGTGGACAAGGTACACACACAGTACTTGCCACACACGCATGTGGGCCTGGATTTGATTCTCAGCACTATCAGCATGACCAGTAAACTTACAACATATTTGTGATTATCAATTACACTGATGATCTTTCAGAAATATATTCCATTCCCTAGGAAAACATTTACTTTTTTTTTTTTTCTGGCTGTTCAGAAGCAGAGAGGGGAGGCTCAAGGATCCTCTCATCACAGGTCCTGCACCTTGCCTTGCTTTCTCTGCAGAAAGAGTACCATGGTTACAGAATGCAGAACAAGTGACCACCACCTAAAGTCAGATGCTTGAGACAGGCCTCCAGCTTCCTGGCAATGCCTCACTTGAAAGGGGAAGAGAAGGTGGAAAAGGTTAAGAAAAGGCCTATTCTGAGCCATAATTCACACAAACAAGAATGCCTCCCTGTCTGATGTCTCCAGCAGAGAGTCATGCATTGAGAACATGGCACCCTACCAAGGTGTATAATTTGGGATCAAGTCTCTACTTTCTGTGACCTCTGTGTAGTGTGGTCGACTTATGTGATTTATTGCAACCTTGCTTTCTAGACAAGGGGTAACAAGCGTGGAGGGACACTCAAAGGCCAGAGTGTGAAAAATGTAAAGATAACATGCCTGGGAAAAACACAGAACGCAGGCTCTTTTTGTATTTAGAAGGGATTTTGATCAAAATGTAAAACAGGTCAGGCCAAGGTCTGCCTTTTGTTGTATATGTAAAACCAGTTAGGACCTGCAGTCAGGAGTCCTCAGGGTACATGGGGCATGCCTGAGGTTTATGTGCCCAAGTAGTTCCTCAAGTTGGCAGATTTTACAGCTTACACAAACTCTCTTGGTCAGAAGCTCACAACATTAAATATCCAGCCAATGCTGGACTTCGACTGGAGAACTGCAAAGTCTGTGCTGGAGCTGCTAAAGACAACTTCTGCATAAGAAGAACATATTTGTATTCCCTGTCCCTAAATCCTCACTTACAGTTGAGTCACATCCTTGTATTGGAGAGGAAACACAAGACCCTCAGCAAAGTCAGGCTGTGTGTGCCGCTTGTCCCCAACAGCTAAGGCAGAGGGGCTAGGCCTCTGATGAGTGCCTCGGCCTGAAGCACACATCCTGCATACTCCAACAAAACAAGGAAAAGGCTGTCCCCAAAGATGCTCAAGTGGGACACTAGGCTACGGAAAGGTGAGATAAAGCCCATTTTGATAACTGCAGCCCTCACTCAAGGAGAAAGGCATGGGGGGGGGGGGAGTCACGCATTACAAATAATACAAAATCTGTGCCCCGGGTCACCTGCTGATAGGACACACCTTCTACTCCCTATCTGCCCCACCCACTTCTCTAGCAGCAGAACAATCTGTCCCAAGGCCTGTGGCAGAAGATAAGCATTCTGGACACACAGCAAACAAGGTTGTAGGCCAAAGCGACAGGGCACCTCAGAGGTGAGTGAACCAAAGAGCAGCTTAGGCTCGGTGACCAGAAGCAGGCTGAGCTAGTCAGCCTATGACCCCACACGTGACACACAGAGCCAGTGGCTCACTTCAGAAGCATGTGCTGAGGCTGGAGGATGAGGCTCCAACACAAGTCTTCATCACTTGAGACCCCGCTGCCCTGTGTGACGTAGCTGGATCACAGGAGACCAAGACCCTGCTTCTTGGGGAGCTCACCACGGGACAGGGTGTAGCAGGGCCAGCTTCAGTGAGGAGTGGAGGGGATCAGGGACCTAGGAAAGAATTGTTGGAGCTGGGAGGACAACACAGCCAGGACAGAAGAAAACAGAAAATGTGTTCATTTCATCTTCTGTTTTTGCTTTCTAGCACAAACTAGGAACCCCGTCTGTGTTTACTGAATGAATGTGATGCCCCCTGTCCAAGATCATTCAAGAAAGAAACTCATTCACTGCACAAGCCAGAGTGTTCTAAACAACTGAATGCAAAACTTGGTAGAAGGTACATTTTTTCCTGAGAGGAGCTCCTCAATCAGATGTCCACAGAAGCTGTGTTTTGTTGTTGTTTGACATTTACTCAGCATTTACTACGTACCTGGCACTCACTGGCTTAGCTACATAACTGTGCCTCCTTGTCGTCATGCAAATGCTTGTTTCTTCAACCCCACAACTGAATTCCATAGCCTTCTTTCGAAACCCAAGCTGTACAAGGAAAGGAGGGAAAGGTGGATTCTACTGCATAGGGAGGAACTGCTCAGTCTCCTTCGGGTCAGAGGTCAATGGAAATCTTCTTTGAAATGCAGAGGGGTAGCCAGGAGCAGTGGCACACAGCTGTAGTTACAGGTACTTGGGAGGCAGAGAGGAGGATAGCTTGAACCTAGGAGTTCAAGACCTGTCAAACATGAGGGAGAGAGAAAGAGGGTGGCTGGGGTCATGGAGAATCAAAAGGATAAACGAAACAAGGTTAGCTTGCACACTGGTCCCAGCTGCCTCTGTCTACATCACTGCTCATCAACTGTATCTGGTGTCCAGCTGCCCAGAAGAGAGAACTACGCATGGTTCTGAAGCTTGAAGAGTAGTCTTATAGCCGTGTGAACGAAAACAGAATTCAAAAGAAGCCAAGTTAGATAGTGGGAATCCAAAGAGAAAAGACAAAACTGAAGAAGTCTGTTACAGAAGAGGAGAAAGAAAAGAACTCCCTTTTCTTGCCATCACACACGTTTTTGCTATGAAAGCTTTGGAAATGAATAGGTACTTGGGCAAAAGACAGCTGCATCTGCACTGACACAGGAGCTGCTGACCTCCCTAGTCACATGAATCACATGTAAATGAGACTACAAGGCTGACATCCCTAGAGCATCTGATGTTTAGTACAATGTCCTCCTGGTGACCCCCTCCTTCCACTGTCCTCCCAACCTTCAGTTATTCCTAATTTCTCATTTACGTTCAGGCTCATTCTTTCTAGTAGTTCTTATATGTTAACATGGGTCTCTTCTTAAATCCTACTAAAATTTTTCTCTCTTTCCACATATCAAAAAGAAAAATGAAAATGCTGTTAAAAATCTCAGTGCTCACCAGAGAAAGAAAGCACAATAAATAGTGCAACACCTTACAGAAAAGAGTCATTTTTCTCTAAGTGTTATTCCTTGACTGGGTATGACAGCCGAATAAACTTACACCGGATAACAGTTATCAAATGTAATTTTGTTTAGAAGCTATTTTCACAAAGTCTTTTTGTCAATAATTATGACCTGGCACCCTCAACTCCACCTTATGAGTCATCTCTAATTTGACTGAGCTATTTGTTTATGCTTCTGCAACCCTTTGTATTCAGGGAGCAATGAGGTCATTTTTTTTTTCTTAAATGAACCTACTTAACTGTTTGTAAGTTAAAAAAAAAAAAAAAAAGTCAGGGGACCAGAGAAAGAGCTAAGCATCTAATAGCACTAGCTTTTCTTCCAGAAGACTCGGGTACAATTTCACTCACATGCAATTCCAGTTCCAGGGAATCTGATGCCCTCTATTGACTTCTGTGGGCACCTACATGCCTGTGGTGCACATATACACACAGTCACACACACACAACACACACACACACACAAAATAAAAATAAGTAAAATTTTCAAACAACAACAAAGAGAAGTTGTGTCAGAAAACGTTATTTGATGAAGAAAAACACTAACTCGTTTATCTTCAGTCTGCTAATCCATACTACGGAAGAAACACAGTACTTAGAGAATTGTGTATGCCCGGAACACATGCACAGTTCAAGGAACTTTATGGTTTGCTTGCAAAACAATAAAATACAAATGCTTTTTAACTTAGTGTAATTTTTAAAACCACATTATTTGTTACTATTAAATATAGAATAATGTTCTCAAAAAAAGGTTCCCTTTGGAGCCCAATGCAGAAGGCAAAGGGCACAGCCAGCCCTTTGGGGATGTTGCTAGTCTCTTTTTTGACAGTTTCCATCCTGTTGTCCAGTGCGAAAAGGCAGCTCTCGCCCTTGAACCTGCTTCTTTTTTCTTATTCCCCTCTTTATCTGGAAAAGTCTGACACCATGCTATCAGAATTCCTTCCAGAAACCTCCTGTGCAGCCCCATCCAGCTCTGGCTCAGTGTGTAACCATGGCTCAGAAGCTTTACCTGTTTAACATACCTAGTTACTCCCGTGTAAGTCTCTGGAGATGGGGAGAAAGACCACACACACCCCCAAAAAAGGCCGGACATTTACTAGCAAGAAACGGTATCTGACAAAGCAGACAGTGCCAACATTGACCATGATGCTCATCTCTGTGAGAAACTGAATAAAAGAAAATCTACCCAGGAACAGCTGTGTCCAAGGCCAAGCATGCACCATCTCTAGCACAGGGACCTTGAGTGGAGGCAGCTTCCATTTAACAGTAGTACCCAGTGAACCTGAGTTTCTCCTCATGGGGGGCCAAGCAGACCAGACACTACTGCCACAATGCCACTCACTGCCTTTGTAGAAACAGAAGCCCCTTTCCTTTTATGCTAACCCCAAGCCTTGAGAGGAAACCAAGAGACTGATTCTAGGTTAAGAAAACAATGGTTTCTTCTCTGCTGAGTTCTGTGGTCACTCTAAGACTCTACATTTTTCCATGCAAACCACATTCACATTAAATATGCTTATACTAGACTTACCCTTTGCTTCCCCAAAGCAATAACAACCGTAAGAACGGGACGCCTGCGTTAATTCAATGGCCGCTATAATAACTGTTTAATGATACTTATTAAACAGTTCTCAGACACCATCTCCCAATTACACAGGCTCCCAATCACACAAAAGCAAATGTCTAGCCATGTCATGACTGACCAAACTTTTATACGCTATCCGTCAGTTCAGGTCAACTTGCTAAGATGACTTCTGCTCACAGCTTAGTGTCCTAGCTTAATGTCAAAGATTTTACCAATTAAAAAAAATTTTAAAACCTAAAATCAAGAGGTCATTAGATAGCCAAGAACTCATCATACTGACCTGGTTGCTCAGTGTCTGCTTCAGTTTTTGAAGAACCTGGTGCAACAGGAAGAGGTCGAGGGGGCCGGGGCTTGGGAGTGGGAGGTGAAATTCTTTTCCTTCCAATATATTCAACATATGTTCCTGGAAAGTCTCCCCTCTCCCCGGTGGTTTCATTGTAGCCGTTTAACCAGCCAATATCTTCAGGCCGGGCTTCCTGTCCATCACTGAATCCGAGTGCCACTAAGGACCCTTTATTCACAGTTAGTATGTCACCCAAGTGCAGGTCGATGTCCTCCTCTCTCTCCTTCTTGTAGTCATACAGCGCTCTGTACTGGTATCCCTCGGCACTCATGTTTGCAGCCCTGTCACCCGCAACAGAGGAATCTGCTTGGACACTGCAGTCCGAGTTTACGTGTTGAGGGAAAGCAAGTTCGGAGAATGGGCTGAAATCCCTGTCGGGTGGCCGGCAGAGGACGAAGGACCGCTATCCAAAGGTTTAAGAGAGGTGGCTGGCCGTCCGGCTGTCCATCTGTCCTCCATCAATGGTGTGACTGAAGACAGGGCTCTACTCCCTCTGCCTGCCACGGTCCTCCCTGCTGTCCTTCTCAGCGGCTTGTCAACACCTTGACTCCAGGCTGACTCTCGCAACGAGGCCCAATCCTCTCTGACGTTCTTGTCACACTGTCCATCTGTCGTCTGCTTTTACTGCCACACTCCACTCCCAGCTTGACCTAGCAAAGCAAAAACAAAGCTTATGAAAGAACATCACACTTGGCCATCTGTGTGGATTTGAATTTCCACGTCCATTCAACAAGTACTTAATCACTCTGGCAGACGACACACATAGGCCAGTGGGCTACTGCTTGACACGGTGTATGTACAAAACCAAGATTAGTTAGACAGTCCCTGCCTTCTAAGAACACTGGGCGGGACAGGAGAAGCACTAGCATGTGGCAATGTTCTGGAGATAACACTAGGACACGAGGAACCAAAACATTAGGTAAATGCCATAATAGATGCTGATACAAAATGCCATGGGGTTCAAGAGAGAGAGAGAGAGAGAGAGAGAGAGAGAGAGAGAGAGAGAGAGAGAGAGAGAGAGAGAGAGAGAGAGAGAGAGAGAGAGAGAGAGAGACCACATCAAATTGCAGGAATCTGCAGACAGAATGGAATGTGTGGCATGATCCTGAGTACAGACCGACCAAGCAAATGTCATATTATGGAAAGAAGCACAGGCAGTCTAATCCATCAGAAGACAAAGGAGGAAGAATGAGCCTGGGTTGGGAAGACAATAGGGTCATCTGAAATGCACGGGGACAGCGCGTGTGAGTCAGTCAGCCCTCTAAGGTGAGCACCGCACGATGTGAAGAAGCAGTCCCGGGATGAAGGCTGTGCCCAGTCTGACCTCGGTGCCCAGGCGGGACTGGCCCAGGGAGAGAGGATGGAGGTGAGGGCTGCTAAGGAAGGTGCGGAGAGACCAGAGAGGCAGCAGCAGATTCGTCCATAAAGGCGCAGACTGACGCGGTACACAGTACGAAGGGGAAATTTGTGGTGAAAACTGCTCCCTGGCAGAAGCAAGAGGGGCAAGGGCTCGAGCCTGTGCTGCTGAGAATTCCAGACTAATATGAGGCAAAGGAAAGCCAAGAGACCTGATGGGCTCATGGGATATAGACATCCACTGCAGGTGTGCTAGTGACGGGCCAAAAACTCCAGCTGCCATCAGGAGTGCACCTCCGGATTTGTAAGTAGATGTAAATAGAGCAGAACTGATTTCAGTGGGGTGAGAACCATCACTGACTTTCTGGGATGCCATACTGCAGTCCAGCAATAAGGATAGCAACTAGATCATAAGGAGTTAAGCTATGAAAGGAAGTAGCCACACTTACTGCTGCGGAAGTACTATGTAAAGCAGGCTTGGTGGGGGCCAGGGTAATGAGAACGGTTTTCTCTCAATTGCCAAGCAGAGTGGGGGCAGAGCAATTGGAGAGCTTTAGTCATCATGGATGGCTAATAGGGCAGCATGCAACACAGATCCACGCTGCACCCCAGTTATTTTTCAAGGTTACCTTTACTGTAGAGACTACATTCAAGCTAAAGGTTTCAGTTCACCAACCTGTACAATAAAGCAATACAAAAACAGCCACACGGACCTGCGCCAAAGATACTTGCTTAAGTTTAAAAGAAAGAAACACTTTAGCAGTTCAGTATTACAGGCACTCTTCAGTGCCGGCATCTTAAGAAGCGAAATCTAATCACAGATTAATTGTTATGTTGGCATTCAGAAGTGTAAAGTATTCAACTTCACATGGCTAAAGCCTCTTGGCTTTATACAATAACACTCTAAGGAGGGCTGCATATTAAAGGGAAGTAGAAACAAACACTGGAAATCTTTGTGGAGCAAGAATATTCATTTGGGATAGTACTCTACTTTGCATTTCAGGCATCAGAGGGGAAAAAAAAATTAATGCAGCCAGTGGAGCGAATGAGAAAAATGAGCTATGTTATGTTTGAAGAAAACCTCTCCTTCTGAAGGATCCAGAACCAAATTAAAGATTCATTGCATAAATTCACACAAAAATGTAGAACCAGCAAATCTCATTTTTTTGTACTAATGTGCTCTGTACAAAAGAGACACAACTCCAAAGAACATGAAAATTTACATATCCCTAAAAGCTTGGAAACCGGGCAATATGCCTAAGAATAATTTAATTCCTTCAAATCTGCCCTGAAATTTTTGTTAGCTTTTCCTGGCAATGTATGTCTTTTAGGGGGAGGGGGAAAGTCCTAAGTCAGTGGCCAGGGCAGATCTTTCTGCCAGCTGGTGCCTCGAACTTCCTCAATTTCAACCACCCAGAGGACCAGTTTGGTGGGATTCTCAGCAGAACAGGAAATACAATGCCTCCAGCCCACAGCAATCATGAAACAAGCCCCAGCACACACCATAACAATATAGCTAGGCATGTTCCACACCAGCAACTCAGAAACTGCACCATGTCTTTTCAGGGCTTTCTGACCCTGAGGTCCTCTTGAGTGTGCCTGGGGCTAAGTCCACACAAGGGGCTGAAACGCTGGGTGGCATCTGATAGAGGATGCTAGATTCTTGAGAAGCCATCCCCACCCTGTGTGCTGAGACCTAGAAGCTTAGGCCAGTGCTCTCTCCTTGCCAGTGCAGGAGAATCTTAAAAACTGCAGAACTCTGGGTCATAGTCTGACAAAGGAAACACTGATCTCTTATGAGTTGGGGATTGCATGTAGAGCATGGCCAGGGAGATCAATGCAGACAGTTAAGGTTAGCAGTCAAGGTCAGCAATGACTGGGTGTCAGTGAAGCAGTCTGAAAGCAATGTTGTAAAAAAGAGAGGGTTAGCACACGGTCATTCATTTGGGTGGGGACTTGATCATGTAGTGACAAGGTTCAGAGGGACCTTGGCTGGGCAGAGAAGGCAAGCAGTGCTCTCAGACTGCACTCTGGCCTGCACACTTTCTCTGGCCTGCCGTACCCACTTAAATGAGGCAGTGTTATCACTATCATCGTCATATGATGACACTTATTGGGAGCTGGGCCCACATTAACCCGTTCCAACCTCACAATAACCAGGGTACTATAGATAGTCTCACTTGACAAGCGGAGGAAGTTTAGTGTCTCAGGCATGACTGCACTCAGCACCAGATGCAGAATCTAAATTCAGATCCAGCCAGTGTGTGGAGTCCCCTCTTCAAAGACCACCACAACTTACTTCCGGTTTCCATGAGCTGAGATGCCCGGCTTAGGTACGACAGGAGGATCAACAATGCAGTATCCAGCCTGCTCTGGCTGGTCCCCCATGAGAATTTTGGGGATCTGCCCCCATAGCAGCCACACAGGTTTCTCTCACACACCTGCACAAAAAGAAGTCAGTGGAACTTGGCAGCCGTCCAACCAAGTGCAGGGCCCAGCACCTCAACCATGCAGATGTCCTCCAAAGCCACTCAATTAAAATGTACCTTTGCCTAAGATGTCCATAAACTATAGCATAAAAGTATATCACTTCTGGAAGACTGCCCACTTCTGGAACCCTGTGCTTCTCTGTCCTACACACATAGCCTCTGCCACCTGTATCCCTCTTGGACTGTCCGCCCTGTGAGACTCTCCTGGGCTACTCATGTCACAATTTCTAACAACTTAGCTCCTCCCTGGGGAGAAAAGGGAAGCATCAATCCAGAATCACAAGGACTGTCACATCTAGAGGACTGACAAGCTCTCCTTGGAATTGTCTCCAGGACTGCAGAACACCCAGCAGCCAGAACCGTGGAAAGTGCCTATGTGACCCTCCTGAAGTCAATTTTCAGTTTTGACAGAACAGATATTTCCCACTATCAACAAATTATGCCTCCTATTCTTTTTGGCTAAAAACACCTGCTCAGTGAACTAGTTCCACCCAGATTCACAGTAAAGGTCACTTTATCTGCAAATAAAAGTCATCACCAAGAAACTATTATTTTCAGGTAACCCATGCACTTCTATGATATATGCTCTAAGCTAATGCATACATAGGACACTGTATATTCTCCCCCCAAAAGCTTAAAGGAATTTTGTGAAGAAATTACAAAATAACTTACTTTCATACAAGATCTATATGACTACCCACAATTTCCTTATGGGAACTATTTTGCTCCAATCATTAAACCTTTACATGGCTGTCTACAATCCCACTCACTGGAAGTAAACTTTCTTTCTCTGCTAGCATGCTGAGCAAGTCTCATTTTATTTGCCCAAATAAAATTGTTTCTAATGCTTGACAAGTAAAACTATGTGGCTGACTGTTTAATGTGCAATGGCTTGAAAGTAGATTTTTTTTTAAGTTTATCTTTCTAACCTGCAGGCACAATGAGAAAAAAACCAAACAAGCTCTCTGAAAAGCCCTCCAGCTTTGTTGACTTACTCTGTTCACCTTCTACAAAGGACAGGATTTGGGGTAAACTAATGGGGAGGCAGAAAAAATAGACCTCCTCAAATTGCATGAAAGAAGAAAGGAAGAAAGAAAGACAGACAGACAGGAAGGAAGGAAGGAAGGAAGGAAGGAAGGAAGGAAGGAAGGAAGGAAGAAAATACAGTCGTGCATTATCATCCTGTGATGCAATTAGAAGTGTGACACTGGGTGGCAGCACCGAAAGGTTCTACAGTCAAGACAAGGGCTCTGGGTGTGTAGCCTACACCACACATGCCATCCTTTCCCCTTCCTCCTTAAGGTGCGACATACACTAGCTCAGAGTCTAGGGTAAATGTTCCACCTCAATTTATACAGTCTTTGGAATCATTACTTGAAAATCCGTCTACCTTTCAAAACTCTGGAAGTTATGAACTATGAAACTGCCTTAGGATTCTAATAAACACCATGTGTTTATATATAAAGTGATGGGATTGAACAGCCTCAATTAAAATAGGGTGGAAAAGATGGGCTCACGGTGAGTCCAATGTTATAGGCATCTAATATCTCCAAATCAACAAGCGAAGCAGAATGTGCTGTCTGATGCCACACTCCAGGCTGGGTAGCTACTGTGGGTAGGTAGTGTGTGTGTGGAGGCTGTAATCCCTGCCCTCAAGCCCTCTAGGGGCAGTGAGTACACACTCAGATGACACAGTAAAGAGACAGGCCTGCAAAGCGGTTACAGAACTGTGTGTCCCTGACCACACCAAGAAGAGGGGAGGAGAGGGCTACTCAAGCCCACCCACAGCAGCCCTTCTAGAGGAAAAGGGTCAGGATTAAGAGGGGGCTAGGAGGATGGGCCATGTGACTAAGAGATCCTCCCACAAGAAGAGGCTATGAGGCCAATGGGCCTTGTGCCCTGCATCACTACAGTAGACAGGGATTGAAATGGTGGCCCAGGGAAAAATGAACAAAAAGGGGAATGCCCTAAAGTGCCTCTTCTTGTGAAAAAAAAATTGCAGTTTTTCAAACTCGTGGCAGGAAGGGTGCTGTAACTAAAAGGAGCTGCCCTGACCCATGCCTAGATATGTAACTATTGGCAAGTCGATGAAACCTCCCTCCCTCATTTCATCACCTGTGAGGCCAGTGGAAGAAGACCTATACCTCACTAGGTCATTATGAGGATTAAAGGCAATTACACTCACAAAACACGCAGCACCATGCTTCTCAGTACACACTTAATATAATTAACCCCAACTCAGTGTTCTCTGCGTGCCAGGTACAGTTCTTAGAGTTTTGCACGCACCCTTACAACTGCTGTAGCTTAATTATCAGCCCCATTTTGCAGATTTGCGAAAACAAGCACAGTTAAATAACATGCATGAAGTGACAGTCAACTGCAGTGGTGGCACTCTTGTCACTGCTCTTAGGAACAATAGGACTGCTAGCAATATCAGCATTGAATGTCACTGTCATTTACACAATGCAGATTTAAAACAGAAACAGACAGGTGCCAGGAATTTTCTCTTGCACTGCCTTTCAATGCTGCAAGCAGTTCTAAAAGAAGCCTGAAGCTACCTAAAATAAAACCCTGCTGTAAATAGAGTCAGATAGAGCCTGTGGACTTAGCCCAAGTAATTCTCTCTCCAGACCCAAGGTGGAAAGCAGCTCAGCAGAGGTCAGGGGGTGCTAGGTGGGAGGGCGACATGAGTATGCTTGGTGACGGGGCACACTGTGGGAGTCATGACACTGTTGTCTAACTGGGCTTCATGGCCGCTTCCTAGGCTGCCCTCAGAGAGGAAAAACTGAACACAGTAATGCAATGCTCAAGAGAATGAGGGAAGCTGGGTCCTCATGGGACAAGCCCAGTCCTCAGGACTGCAGAGGCATTCCAGGATGAAGGCAAGGGGCAAAGGCTTAACTGCTGGCAAGGTATCTCGCCTCTACCAACTCAAAACACCAACTGGTGGAGCCTCCTGACCCATTGACAGGTTCCTATGACTTCAGTTCTCTCCCAGGTGATCTATTTTGACGACAGGTACTTGTTGGTATACATTTGATTTACTTTAAGGAAGGCAATAGTGGCAGAACAAAATCTCCAACAATGTTTTAACCGTCCCTTTTTATGTCTTCAGTAAGTTTGTACTACATTCATTCCATGTTTCATCGGAAAAAGGTATTGGTATAAGTAATTACACAGGCAAGGTATAAGTAATTACACAGTCTATTTTTCAGTTCATTTGGCTTAGTGTACAAGAAATGACCTTTAATTGTCAGTACTTTCGGCAAGTGATTTCAATATGGGTATTGGTAAAACCATGACAAAAAAAAATCACATTAGGAAGAAGGCTTTAAAAAATCACAATAATATGAGTGCTTTAAAAAAAATCACAACCAGTGTTTCAAGAAAGAAGGAAAAAATGATACAATTTGCAGTAAAAACAAAACTGACTGACAGCTGTGTGTTGGCACAAGCCTATAATCCCAAGACTTGGGGTGTAAAGGCAAAAGGCTCAAGAATTCAAAGCCAACTTCTGCAACATGGAGAGTTCAAGGCCAGTCTGGGCTAAATGAGACACTGCCTCCAAAATAATGAGTACACACACATACTCCCTTCTATTGATAGGTGACTTTGTAGTTTTCAAAGCTTCACCAGGATGCCACCTTTCCTGTCTCTGCTAACAAAGCTCTGCACCATGCAAGGTGCTCTGTGCTTGACCAATCTAATATACATAACAGACTGACAATTAGGGGATAATTTTTTCCATGTATGTACACCTTACTCATAAGTGAAAGCACACAAAAATGTTAGCTCATCTTGCTATAGTCTACTTGACCATAAACCATTTTTTCCCTAGTTGATTCATTCACTCACTATCTCTTTATCCAATAAAACCCATTTTGCAAATCAAAAATACAAACACAATAAAAGCTGGACCAGAATTGCTTTTGTTTTAACAAGTATGTGGATAATTTTTCTAAGTGAATGCCCTTTTCCAACACTTCCCTGAACTACTTATAAGAGAGGAGGGCAGAAAGGAAATTTCAATCAACACTATAACCTTAAAGCTCATGGTGTTCATGGCAAAAGTTTAAAGGAATAAGCAACACTTTTAAGGGTACAAAGTTTGTGTGCATTGAATAGGCTTGTACTTAAGATTCAAAGCCCTTTGAGAAATTAGATTGAAAAAGGGGGAAGATGACTGGAAAGGGTAATGGGGAAAGAGTATAACCAAACTATGTAACATGCATATACAAAAAGTCCCCTCAAATACACTAATAAAAGTTTATTTTAAAAAGCAACCCATCAGCTTAGGCGTAATTAACATTTCCAAAAGATAAATGCATACAACCTACCATCAACAGTCAAAATACATATCCCTGTAATGTGTTCTATTGCTCAGTTTTCCCAAACCAACTTTATACTAAAAATGCATCAAAGACAAATAAATAAATAAATAAATATACAGCTAAAGAAAACAACACACTGATTCAGTGGGCAGTGAAATGCTTTTTTACATGGCTACAGAGCATCACAGATGTGAAAAAGCAGAGCCCTATCATAAAAAATGCAAATAAAACAGCAGATAACAATGCGCACATGGCAGAGATCTGTTATGCAACTAGGAACAGGTCCCAAAGCAAGATGAAAGTTAAAAGTAAACTCCCACAACAGTCTGAGAGCCAGTATCAGCCAAGTCCAACTTTCTTCAAATCATAAAAACTGACAGACTGCTGTGGAAAAGTAGTGTGGCTTGCAACAGGCACACAGAGGAAGGCAGCCAGAGGTGGAGTTGCAGGGAATGTCTGCCAAGCGAGGAACTTCCCCCATTCGCCTTTCCTACTTAAACCTACTTTGAACCACCGGTTCAAAACCACCAGGTGCAAGAAAAATCAGTATGGTTTTCTTTGTAATAAGCAAAAACAGTTGTTTTCCAAATTTTAAGCAACTTGTGTGCTTGAGAAAACTGCCTGCTTACCATTCAGTGTTTTATCTCAAAAACAGTGAGTGCAACTGTCAAAAAAAAAATGGCTCAGGAGCTGCTGGTTCCCTTCTCAGTGACAAACGATGCATGGACACCTCACTTGTGGGAAGGCCCTTAAGTCCTAAAGATTTCTACTTTAAAAATCTATTAATCTGCTAATCCATGGCAGAAATAAGCCCATCTGTCTACTACTCCAAGCTTTTTTGGCTCATAATTTACCAGCTTTAAGGTGCCCAAAACATACCATAAGCTAATGAAAATTAAGATATGCCTCCACATGGAGCCTAGGTCACTCAGCTTTGTGGATGCTTTGAAACTCCATCTCCCTGAAATGACAATCTCATGCTACATTCAAAACCCGGAACTGCTTTATCCTTCCCACTTCCCACTGTCTGACAAAGACGGAGAAGACAGGGGGAAAAGGGAAAAAATGTTAAGCCCTAAAACCACGAAAGCCCTAAATAAAGCATAAATTCACACCAGTACAGCAACAGAGCCTGCAGCTCCTCCTAGAATTAACGGTGGAAATGAGACCTTTCCGGTATTACCAGTGCCGGGAGCAGAATTCCCCTGAATCCAGTGCCGGCACACAGCATTCAACATGTCACAGCCACTCCGCTCACACCCTTGCGTTATTGTGCGCGAAAGCTGGTTACCAAAATGCATTTCTGTACATGCGTGCCTGGCCAGAGCGTTTCTATTCTCTTTGTCTCGTGATCTGCCGGGCAGTTTCTAGCTTTGGAAAGGAAGTGGCTTGCAGACAATTCCCTACTGATATTTTAGCTTAGGTTTGCACGCGGGCCGGCTCTCCCCGGTCGGCAGCATATTGCTGGGCAGGTCCCTCCAGGGTTGCCCCGCGTTAGGAAAAGCTGGATTTCCGGGCGGTGCCAAGATCCCACTCATTATGCCTCCAGCAACCTGTCCAAGCCCGGCGGGCGCCAGACATCGAGCTCGAGCCCCAGCCACCGACCGCCCTGAGGCGCACTTCCCCCACCCCGGAAGAGGAGGGCGGCAAACTTCGGAGGGCGGGGGCTGGGGGCGAGCTCCGGGGACCACCTTGGCCCAGCTCGGTCGGCAACCCCGGCTGCAGCTGCCAGGCCTGGAAGGGACGTCGCGCTTAGGCAAAGACAGCGATCCAGGCGCTCTCCTCGCGCACTCCCGGTTCCAGGAAGCTGCAGGGCAATAGGGGACCCTCGGAAGCGTGAGGTGACGAAGGTGGAGGGGACCCGGCGACCGCTAGCAACTCCGGGACCCAATGCGCCCAGCAGCGAGCAGAGCCGGACCGAGGTAACACAGAAGAAACGAGAGCAGGGGGTGGTCGCGACCACGCAGGCAAGCCGCTGGCCGGACAAGGCTTCCCAGCGGTGGAGAGATGCTGGCGACTGGGGGCTGGCAGCTGGGTCGCTTCCCCTCGAGTGTCTCGGCAGCAGAAGCGGCTGCCGGTGACAGGAAGAGCAGCGGCCGAGCGCGTTCGCACCGCCTCCCCCTCCCGGGCATACCGGGACCCGCCGCCGCCACCTACCTCCGGAGCGGCTCGCTTCCTTCCTCTGCCGGACCTGGGCTTCAGCGGTCTTTCCAGCTCACAGTTCCCAGGCGCCTGCGATCCAGCTGCGACCCGCCGGCGCTTCGCTGTCCCGGCTCTTTGACTGCACAGCCGTCCTCGCCGCCGCGGCCGCTGCTTCCTCCAACTCGGCTCCAGCTGCTCGATACTCCTTGCCGTGCGCCCTCAGCTCCAGCGCCTGGCGCCAGCCCCGCCCCGGACACGCCCCTCCGTCCCGCCCTCCAGACACACACCAATCAGCGATCGAGACCCCGCCCCCAGAGCCCGAGCCGCGCCCTCCACCTCTACCAGTCTCCGGGCGGTCGACCAGGATCCAGGCACTGCATTCAGTGCCTACCGCTCCTACCCTCCGCCCCCTCCCCCGCTGTCCTCGCCTCCGCCCCCGCCCCCTGCACGGGGATGCCCCGGGCGACCGGACGGCGGGCGGTCCCTGCGGCGGAGTTCTATCTCTGCCCGACTGGGGCTAGTTCGGCCGCCGGGCGTCTCCCGGGCCCGAAGCAGGGAGTGGAGGTGGGAGCCCAAGGTGGTGGGAAGATAAGTTCAGGCCTCCCGGGCTTGCTACCTGCGAGACCCTGCGTCTTTCGAACCCACTAGAGCACAGTAGCTGAGGTCAGGCAGACGCAGATGCCAAGGCTCGCCCAAGAAGGGAGGCCCTGTAATTCCTGGCCTCGCCAGCGCAGCTTCCCTAGTGGTCAGAAAAACCGCGCCCCCCGGCGTGGCACTCCCGGGGTGAAGGAGGGGTGAAAGGGTGAGCCGGAGCAACGAGCGCCCGCAGCCAGGGGCCGCCTACAAAACCCTGGCACCGCCGCCTCCCGGAGCCAGGCGGGACCTAGCGGAAAAGGAAGAGTTCTGTGAGGAGGGATCTCTGGCGGTCCTAGGACCGCAGAGCCTATGTAGGTCACATAGCCCACCGCCCTCCAATGCTCCTGACAGGCTGCAGAAGCTCAAAGTAATTCTATGTTTTGTTTTAATGTAAAGATACAGATCCTTGAAATAGTAATCACACTCAAGAAAAAAGTGATGTTGTCTCAACCTTCCCACGCTATGAGAAGATGTCACCCCGTGTTTTGTTCTCTTGAAAATGTTCAAGAACTCTTGAACCTTTAAAAATTTGCTCCCAGAATATGGCTTATTTTGCAGCTGAGGGGCCTGCAGCCACCTACTTCTTGCCCTAAAGCTCCTTTATGCAGCCCTTCTCCAGTGTTCTGGCAAGAATCCTACTTTTTCTTAACCAAGAACTTAGTCTTTTGTCAAATTCTAAATTTGGTAGCGTGTTAGTGTGAGTGTTGGAAGCAGAGGGGAAAAGATGAAATTCACAATTTATCCTTAGCAAATGCAACCGCGTTTAAAGGTGACTCACGTTCTTACAGATCAGAGATCCCCTAGGTGCGCCGTCCAGGAACTAAGGTTTCTGTTACTGCTGGTATCTATTGAAGACAAAAGCAGGCAGCTGCTCACATCACACGGAAGAGTCCACCTATCATGTGGGACGTGGTGACAGACACCTGTAATCCCTGCACTTGGAAGCGCTTTGAGTCTGAAGTTCAAGCCTGCCTAGACGTTGTAGAATCTCTATAAATGGTATGTTAATTTGGGTAGGAAGATCATCTTAATTGTGAGTAGAACCATTCTCTAGGCAAGAGATTCCGGATTGTATGAGTGGAGAAAACAAACTGAGTACTGTCTGTGCACACATAATTTTTGTGCTTTTTTCTGATGGAGGACATAATGTGACCAGCTAATGCATGTTCCTGTTGTCTTGGCTTACCCACGATGGCAGACTACTTTGAACTGTGAGTTAAACTCTTTCTCCCTTAAGTTGCTTTGTTTTGAGTATTTTATCACAGCAGTAACAGATACCAAGGTATGTTCTTTCTATTATGTGAAATGAAGAGCCTTCTGGTAGATGGTAATGATGTGTTTCCTGTGGTAGAAGTCTGGATTGAATCCACACTAAGATGACTAAAATAGTAAAGCATTCACAAATGTTTTCCTTAGGCTCACCTCTGAAGAAACTAAAAATACAAAGTTTTCTGGATGCCTTCTCTTTTGTGCTCACTAGAGTCTTGGGAAGAGACTCCACCATAGGATTCTATTTAACCTAAAAACAGCATGTGATTCCTAACCACACTTCTTCTTTTAGACAAGTCTTCTGCAATTTCTTGTACATTTACACTTTTTTAAACTTTTTTTCCACCATAGCTAAACACAGCACACAACTTATGTCAGAGAGGGTCACATGGGAGGAAAATAAGGTTATTTCTCCATACCAAATAACCTGTCTGTTTAATCTGTATTAAATTGGTACCTCCCCACATTGCTAGTATAGTATTTATTTTCATTTCCCATAGATGCTATGACTTAAAAGCAGTGACAACACAATATCAATATCAGTATTCATACATGGAGTGTGTGTGTGTCTATACCTGCTCACATGTTTATATATGCATGTGTGGGTACATGTGTCTAGTTGACAAAGGAGTCTTCCTCAGTCACCCTCCACCTTGTGTATTGAGGCAGGGTCTCCCACTTGAACCTAGAGGACCCCATCAGATAGTCCAGCTAGCCGGTTTGCATTGAAGACTGCCTGTGTCTACCTCCTGTGCACTGAAATTAAAGCTGAGGCCCTACACTCACCCAGCATTTACTTGAATGCTAGGGATCTGAACTGTGGTGTGTACCCTTTCGTGACAAGTTCTTAGCTTTTGAGGCACAGTCTTAAGCTTGTGTTTTTTAGAACCCTTTTCTTGAGTGAAATTTTATCTGGAAACACAAAATGTAACTGATATAAAGCAAGAAGCTGATAGGATAAGCCATTTGCCTGCCTTTCTTTTCTACAAAACCTCTGGATACTTGAGTCAGTGCCATGAGCATCTCCTTGGAATTTACTGGAAATGTAAGTTCTGTGTCTTACTAAACCAAAAATGGCAGATTAGAATGGGGGAGGGGCTGTTTTAGGAAACTCTCCAAGCCATTTGCTTCCTGCCAGGGTTTGAGAATGATTACCCTGGGACTTCTGGGACATACTGAAACCAACTCAAATAAAATGTTCATATGTTGCATAGACACAGTGTTCTAGATTCCAGTCTATTGATGGGATAAAGACCATGACCAAAAGCAACTTTAGGGGGGAAAGGAATTTCATGTTATATCCTACAGTACATCATGAAGGGAAGTCAAGGCAGCAACTGAAGCGGAGGTCATGAGGCAATTGTTTGTAGCTTGCTCTCTGCTGATCCTTTCTTTTTTTATATAAAAATGACCATCTCCCCAAGGTTGACATCACTTATAGTGGGCTGGGCCCTTCCACATCAATGATAAGTCAAGAAAATATCCCCCAGACTTGCCAACTGGCCAATATAATCAAGGGACTGTCTCTGTTAGATTCCCTCTTCACAAAAGATTCCACTTTGTGTCAAATTGGCAAGAAGGAGAAGAAGAGTAAGAAGAAGGAGGAGGAGGAGGAGGAGGAGGAGGGAGAGAGAGAGAGAGAGAGAGAGAGAGAGAGAGAGAGTGAGAGAGAGTGAGAGAGAGAGAGAGAGATGAAAGATTAACTTTCACACAGTTCAACCAATGCTTGTCAAGCTATTGGTATTGGCATTGATTGGTGCCTAAAAATGTCAGAAAGTGTGCAATTTCCAGCAGGGGTACAGGGATATCACTTATAATACATAGCAGCAAAGATGATTTGGAAATCAGACTCAGTCATGGATCTGTATTGTAGAAAAAGAGTTTGAGTGGCCCAAACAAATTGAGATGTTATCCTCAACAACAAAAAACCAGTAGGATGCATTTACTGGCCATCTGTACCCCAGCCACTGCAGTTAATTGTGATATTAGAATATGCTTCCATTGGTTTTAAAATTTATGTGTATTTTAAGTTCCCAAACACAAGCACAAATGTCCTGGACTCTTACTTAACACAAGGCCCACAAACTAGCAGCACTGGCAGAATTAAAAGCAAGTAAGAAATGCAGAATATGAGGTCCTATCTTGAACCTACTGACTCACAAGCTGCACTTAACAAATGGCCAGGTTGACTATACCAAGTAGTGACAAGGATATGGGACAAATGTAATCCCATTACACTAGCAGAGGTGATATGGAACAGGGCAGTCAAGAAAATAGTTACATAGTTAAGTTAAATGTGTATCTACACTAAGATCAAGCTATTCCTTGCCTAAATATTTGGTCAAGAGAAATGAAAGTATAGGCCCTCTAGAAGACTTTAAATGTTCATACAAGTTTTATTGGCAGTACTACGAGCAATGAACAGGTAAGTGAGTAAACAAACTTTGGTATTCACTTGTAGTGGGATACTACTTGTCATAGTATCAGAAGGTATAAAAAGAAAAAGGGGGAGCAAACTGTTGATACACACAACATGGATAAATTTCAACTTACAATGCTGAGAGAAAAAAAATAGTCCAAAATAAATGGTCTAAAGGGGCTTGTTTAAACGTATTTAAAATGTCAGTGGATATAAACTAACCTGTGATTGATTCATGATTGCTGATCTGCTGGGTTGATGTAGGTGTGGAGAGATGGATAGTCTAAGCAAAGGCACACAGAAATTTTGAGGCATGATGACTATGTTCATTGTCTTCTTGTGCTGATGGATTCTTGGCCTCGGGTGCCTGTTAAAACTCACTAAATTTTACACTTTAGACATGTGCAGTTTATGATGTAATTATACCATAGTAAAGATATAAGAAAAAAGAAAAGGATATCTTTCCTCACAGCATTCTAAATTCAGCCAGGAGTGGGCGATGGTTTATTGATTTTGTTTTCTAATGTCTTCCATAAAGTTACCATAATAAATATTCAAGCCTACAAAGTACATGCCATTACTGATGTTCTCTTTGATATGAATCCCTCGTTTAGTACACAGCCTGAAAACCTCCTTGTTCACCTTAATCCCTTCCCGAGTCTAGGGAGACTTACAAGCAGATTGGTTCACAGGAAGATTGCTATTTCTGCAGCTGCTGTTTTGAAAAGGGGGTCTCACTGTGTAGCCCAGGCTGGCCTGAGACTAGCTGCCCAGCTGCCTGGGCTCCCGAAGGATGGAATTACAGGTATGCCCTACCATGGCTGGACTG